TTTGGTGGCCATGGCAGGTGCAGGGGGTGGTTTTTCTTCAACCTTTTCCTGACAGACACCAGGTGGGTCAGTCAGTGTTTCAGGTTTACTTGAATCACTGTCCACTTTCTGTGCTTTGCCACCTATTTGTTTGCTCTGTTGTTGTTCAGAGAAGAACCGCTGCGTGGACTGAAGAACCTCTGCTCTCTGCTTTGCCTTAAAAAAATAAGAAATAATAACTGAAAATGCTGTAGCATTACCAAAGCCTGTCAATCAATCTCAGTTCAAATACTTTTACCAATCACAAATCAAGAGTTTTCCCCACCTTGGATTGACCCAAAGCAAAAGTACCTCATTGATCTTTCAAGCTTTTAATGCATGGATTTCTTCCTATCTTTGAAAATATTCTATGTGATCTTTTTCTTATAATTCAAAACACTTGACCACCTCCCACCACCTTTTGAAAATCTGCCCTCTTATAGCACAGTAACATAGAAATCGCTGTTGGTTTGTAATTTTACTTTTCCTGGAATAAAACTTAATGATATAAAGGATTATCTAGGGAGCCTGTTTGCAAATTTGAAAACATACATGTAACACTTAAATGTCTAGTTATCAATATTTGGTCTACAATAAAACGAAAAGGAAGCACTTATATTGTGGCATTACCAACACCTAGGACCAAATGTCTTGTGGCTGAGTCCTCTTCCCACAGCTCTCTTCTGCAGGGGAAGAGCATCAGAAATTAGTAACTACAACTTCACTTGATCACTAAGTTCTGATAGCTCCTACCACATTCTGAGCTGGTAAAATAGATAATTCCTGAATTTCAGTGACTATGTGCCCCAAAGAATATACTTACGTCAATCTGTAAACTCTCCCACTGATACACATAATTAATTCCTCCTGTCCTACAGATATCCTATACTATCCAAAGGTCTGAAGCAATTTTCCAGAATTTGTACCCTCCCCCTTCTTATCACTTGTTCTAATGTCATATTCGACATGAGAATGACAGAAAATAAAGTGCCATGAAGGCAGAAGCAGAACTAACTGGCCAACAAGGCTGAACAGTTGCCATGAAATTTCTATACATATACTAATATGTTTAATAATTATGAATAGATGGAAGTCCTGGCCACAAAAGTCTTAATAAAAGCAGGTAAGCGTTTTACTTCAGGGTAAGCCTTTCAACTTGGTTACTCAGGATTAGAAACATAAGTATGGCAACTAAGTCAGAAACTTTAGTCAAACAAGTTGAATATTCCAATAGGATGCTCACCAAATGTTTCTAATGCAGAGTAAAGCATTTCCATGTACATTTTCCCTGTTGGAAACCATTAAGTTTTCTTTTGTCCTAGCCTGCCCTTATATATGAAGTAGCAAACAGGCAATGTTACTAAGATCTCTAAACTCAAGTCTAAGTAAGTACATATGGAAATGAACTGATTTAATTAGCAGAATAGGCAGACAGATTGAGTTTATGCCATAGAAACTGTCCCCACACAGACTCCTAGGCATTCTTCCTGCATTAGCAAACCTGACATTTATCAGTCCCTTTCATCATGAAGGATCCCAAAGTGCTTTTCTGAGGTCTTGCTCTACAACTACTCAATTCCTTGTGGATTATAGCCACCTCTAGTGGCAAACAAAAAGGGGTAAGAAAATAACTTAAGAAGCTTTACTTGGATCATTCAGAAAGGAAGAAAAATCAAGACTGATAACATGCCTTACCCATTCCAGAGTTTTGACATATCATGACTCTAATGTTCAATTTGAGGAGATGGTGAAAGGGGGCAAAAAGGGGAAAGTAAAAGGGGGGGTAGTGGTAGAGGGGAAAGAAAAAAAAAAGGAATGCCTATCAGTCACATTTTATTTATTTATTTTTTTGCTTTTCAAAAAAATCTACACTCAGATCTCCCTCAAGTATTTATGAACAATTCAGTTGGTCACAGAATTAAAAAATAGTAATTTGATTACTTAGCATAATACCCACAAACACCCAAAACAAAAAAGAAAACAAGGTTGGAGGGGATGGGAGAGAAGAGAGGGGAAAAAAATAAGAAAATGAGGAGGGGGGAAAAAAACCCCAACAAAAAACCAGTTAGTTCTGCTAAGACAATGAATGCCTGGATATAGGATTATGAGTCCAAAGGCATCTTAAAGCACGGTTCAGAGACACACTCTTGCTCTGTTGGCTGTTAACACTGTACTAACCTTCATGTCTTGTTCAGCCTTCAACGCAGCCTGGGCCTGATTACCTCTGACTCCAGATAGTGATCCACAAGGACCCCTGGCTACATGTGGCAAACGAGCATGGCTCATGAGGCCTGTGGTCAGCGGAGGAGGCATCTGACTGGCCAGTGCCATTGGTGGCCTCTGAACAGGCGCTGGGAAGGTGTTAGTATGTGGGGCTCTTACCAATGGAGGGACCAGGTTAGGCTGAGAGAGAATCTGAGTGAAAAAAACAAAACATACAACATTGAACTGTTAAAAAAAAAAAAGCCAACTAAATCATGTTGGCTTATCCCAGAGTAAATCTGTGCCCAGCCTGCCATTGAAAAGAAGTTTATGGATTTTGCCATTCCATTAACAAGGACAAAAGAACAAACAGGCCATGCTTGGAGAGTTTAACAGAAAAATTAGGCAAAGCATGCTATGTATAGCACTTCACTTGGTTTAAGTACCTGAACTAAAAATTCTGAAAGAGCAACATAAAGACTACTAATGAGGGTATCTTTTAAAAAATATACAACTGCACAAAAGTATGTAAGTATTTCATACATAATAGGAAGATTAAATAAAGATAATATTAATTCAACAAATGTGCTTTCCTTAGGAACCAAACCTAATTTGTGAGAGTGCTTATCAATTTCAGTTAGTCCCTCCATTTGGTCAATACATATATTAAAATTTAAAAAAAATTTCAGTGAAAATGTACACAGATATCTTAACTGAATAGGAGGGGGGAAAAAAGCTTCAAACCTAGAAATCGTCAAGCACTGGGACCCTTCTCTGAAAAGTTAACATCTTCAAAAAGATAAAAGGAACAGGACTGAAATGAATTATCAGAGCTGTGTGGGGAATCTATTGACTATTTCTATTGTCTGCTTTACAATGAAATATAATTATTTGCGTGCACTAGCTGCAAACCACAAAGAATATATATTTGGATGCTACATATTTATTAATACAGAGACTGATTGTCATTAAAATTGTGCTGCTAAATTGGTTAAAATGATGCAACATTATACAATCAGAGAATTAGCCAGATTAGCAATCATTTGCAAGTAGGTAAATAATCATTCTCACTTATATCTGCCCACCTGGGGTGCAAACTGTGTAGGAAATGGTTGTGTCATTCTCACAGTGGCAGGGGCTGACTGGAATTGCTTCTGATAGAC